AGTTGCAGTACTTGGGCTCGCTGAAGATGCCATTGTACTGTGTAGGTTATCGTTCCTTTATTGTCCCTGTACCCGCAATAAACCAGCTGTCTCCCTGTCCAGTGTAGAGCTTGTAGTTACGGCTGATAACCTGTCAAGAGACGGCAAGGTGACGTCCCGTGGGACGCTATGCACCGAACCCTCCAGCTGTAATACCAACCACGTGGAAAGGTGTATACGGACGATGCCGTTATAGCCGAACCCGTGTAAACGTTGTAAGGGGGAAGGAATGATAGTTACAACAGTGGTCCTGACAAATGCAGCGCAAGCGAAGTGTTTTCCGCTCTCAATGCCGATCACGTATGAATGCAGCTACACATCAGATCTTGAACCTCAATTGTGTCTTGAGCCAAATGGCAATCAATGGAACTTGGTAAGCAACACCAACATAGACCTCAGAACAGCTTCCCAATTTAGGCACGGGGCCTAGCGGGTTTTAACATAAACCTTACAATAAAAACATTGTAAGATTTATGTTTTGAAATTATGGGGATTTTATATTTTGGGATTTTGGAAATTTTGGAAAAATATATTTTGGGATTTTAGGAAAATATATTTTGGGATTTTGGGAATTTGGGATTTAGGTGGTAAAATTGGTTGAGGTGGCGTGCCCCTGTTGGTTAATATGGTTGAAGTGGTTGACTGAGGGGATTTTATCTGAACTGGGGCATGCCCTTTGGTAGGTGAAAGGCCTTAGGGGGGAAAGGGGGAAAAGGATCTCAGCAGGGAAAGGGGGGGGGGAAAGATCTTAGGGAGGAAAGGGAGAAGATCTGGGGACAAAGGCCTTAGAGGGGAAAGGGGAGAAATGATCTTAACAGGGAAGGGGTGGAAAAGATCTTAGGGAGGAAAGGGAGAAGATCTGGGGGAAAAAAGGCCAACAGGGAAAAGGGGGAAAGATCTAAGGAAGGAAAAGGGAGAAGCTCTCAGGGGGGAAAGGCCTTAGGCGGGAAAGGGTGGGAAGGATCTCAACAGGGAAAGGGGGGAAACAATCTTAGGAAGGAAAAGGGAAAAGATCTGGAAAGGCCTTAAAGGGAAGAAGGGAAAGGATTGCAAAGGATCTTAAGGAGGAATAGGGAGAAGATCTCAGCGGGGGGAAAGGCCTTAGGAAGGAAAGGAGGGAAAGGGTCTCAACAGGGAAAGGGGGGGAAAGATCTCAGTGAGGAAAGGGAGAAGATCCCAGGCAGGGAAAAGGCCTTAGGGGGGAAAGGGGGAAAGGATCTAAACAGGGAAAGGGGGCAAAGGGTCTTCGGGAGGAAAAGGGAGAAGATCTGAAAAGGCCTTAGGGGGAAAAGGGGGAAAGGAGCTCAATAGGGAAAGGTGGGAGAGGATCCTAGGGAGGAAAAGGGAGAAGACCTTGGGGGGAAAGGGGGAAAGGATCTCAACCAAGGGAAAAGACCTTGGGGAGGACAAGGGAGAAGATCTCAGGGGGGGAAAGGCCTTAGGGGGGAAAGAGGGGAAAGGACCTCAACAGGGAAAGGGGGCAAAGGATCTTAGGGAGGAAAAGGGAGAAGATCTTGGGGGGGAAAACGCCTTAGGGGGGAAAGGGCGGGAAAGGATCTCAACAAGGAAAGGGGGGAAAAGATCTTAGGAAGGAAAAGGGGGAAGATCGCGGGGGAAAAAAGGCCTTAGGGGGGAAAGAGGGGAAAGGGTCTCAACAGGGAGGGGGGAAAACATCGTAGGGAGGAAAAGGGAAAAACTCAGAGGGAGAAAGGGCCTTAGGGGGGAAAGGGGGAATGGATCTCAACAGGGAAAGGTGGCAAAAGATCTTAGGGAGGAAAAGGGAGAAGATCTCAGGGGGGGAAAGGCCTTAGGGGGGAAAGGGGGGAAAGGATCTGAGCAGGGAAAGGGGTGTAAAAGATCTTAGGGAGGAAAGGGAGAAGATCTGGGGGAAAAAAGGCCAACAGGGAAAGGGGGGAAAGATCTAAGGAAGGAAAAGGGAGAAGCTCTCGGGGAGGGAAAGGCCTGAGGGGGGAAAGGGTGGGAAGGATCTCAACAGGGAAACGGGGGAAACAATCTTAGGAAGGAAAAGGGAGAAGATCTGGAAAGGCCTTAAAGGGAAGGGGGGAAAGGATCTCAACAGGGAAAGGGGGCAAAGGATCAAAAGGAAGAATAGGGAGAAGATCTCAGCGGGGGGAAAGGCAGTAGGGGGGAAAGGGGGGAAAGGATCTCAACAGGGAAAGGGGGGGAAAGATCTCAGGGAGGAAAGGAAAAAATCCCAGGGAGGAAAAGGCCGTAGGGGGGAAAGTGGGGGAAAGGGAGGAAAAGGCAGATCTCAGGGGGGAAAAGGCCTTAAATGGATCTCAACAAAGAAAGGGGGCAAAAATCTCAGAGGGGAATGGGGCAGGGGACAATTGCAAAGGGACGCAAATAAGAAAGCAGGCCTGTAATGTCGGCGGCCTGAGCCGGAGGCGTTAAACTAATATTGTTGCTGAGGGGAAATGCGTCCTTGTGTCTTGTCTGCATGCCGTTGAGGTACTGCTGAGTACTTCTGGATTGTCTGCGGGCAGCAGCGTGGCTCTGACACTGGCTGCCTGCTGATGCGCGGCCATTCTTCTTGCATTGGCATCGTGTACTGATGCTATGAACTCTGGTGACTGTGCCGTGTGAACAGGCATCAAGTCCATCCAGGCTGCCTTCAACCCCATCAAGAGAAATTCAAATTTTGATGTGAATATGAGGAACTCGGTGTTCTGCCTTCTGTGTTTCGATTAAAGAAGCTGAGAAGTCTGTATAAGTACACGTTCGTCAAGCCCTTCAAAAAGAACTTCTTCAGCGTGTTCTTGAAGTAGTTGACTCCTTCTTCAGGATCTTGCAAAAGGTCATTCTGGAGGACTGCCTTGTACATATGAGCGTCGATGTGCCTGCTCTTGAAGAGTGGCCCTTTCTTGGATGAACCAGCTGACTTTTTCGTCGCACGATGGCGGCTAGCCGGATGATCGGCCTACACTTGATCGGATGACATCTTGTGTGGATCTGCGGAAAACCTGCTCCACTACCCGCTGCCTGGAATATCTTATCCCCGAACGGAAGTGGTAGTAGAGGATCTTTATTTGGTAGGTTCCTGGATCTACCCCGGAGAGTCCAAGTGTCAATACTGATGGATTGATACTGGATTTGCCCTGGTTGACTGTGCGCTGTGGTTTATGCTGAAAGTGGTCCGCTGTAGCACCTTGGTCGAACGGATGCCACGGCTCAGTGTGCATCTGATGTGTGGCATAAAAGGCCTTGAGCCAAATGCTGTTGCGTGGAGATCAATGGGTCCGAAAAACAAACATGGGGGGGGGGTTTATTAGGCACACGCGTTCACTGCGCTGCATGAGAACACGTTCATGCATCTCAGCCTCATGTCGGCTGTTTTAATCACGAACGCGTTCACTGCGCCGTGTGAGAATAAATTCATGCATCTCAGCCTCATGCCGGCTTCTTTTTTAAAAAACAAATCGTGTTCTCAAAGAGGTTTCCGGTTGCATCGCTGGCTCTCGGGGAGCCGCTCGCGGACTCTATCGTCTGTTTGGCGCGCATACCCTTTTTTACTTGATCAGCACATTGGTGTCTTTGCTGCTGTTTCGGTGTCAGATCCAGTTTTTGGGTGTTGTGATTGCTGCTTCTGCGACGCCTGACTGTTCTCAAATTGACTTTCGTGCGCTGTGTGATGATCAGCACGTTCTGTGGTCTTCGTGGGTGTCTCGCAGGGCGCTGCCTTTGCCTGTGGCAGCTGCAAAAAATGGGCCCCAGACGTGGTGTGACCTGATTTGCTCAATGTTTGCCGCGCGCAACCCAATGGAGATGATGTCCAATGAAGGGTGCTATCTGAAAAACATTAGTTTGGGGGAATTCTAACACCACAGTTTTTCATGGGTTTTTTTATTGAGAAAAGCTGAAATCATTGGCAGGCGCATTGAAAGCAAGAAGGGTGAACCTTGAAAATCACCAGGTACCTCATGGCGTGATGACCTTGTAGTAGTCCAGGATGACAGCTCTGATCTCGTTGTAGTTTGCGATTTGTCCAGCACTTCGTAATTGGAGATGTTGTTGCAGTGCTCCTTTGGTCTTGTTGAGTAGTATTGCAATCTTCGCTCCATCTGGTGGTCTGTGCTGCTGTCTTTCTTCTAGCGACTGGTGTCGTACTTCCATTGTAGGAATTCTTCCTCGAACTGCGCTTCGTTGAATGTAGGTTCCAGTAGTTTAGCGAAGTAGCCGACGCTTCGTGTTCAAACTGGTAGACTGAAACTCTTGCGCGAAAGTCGTAGTGTTTGACATCCATGTCCGTTGTAGCGGCTTTGTCTTACTGCTGTAGCTGCTGCTCCTTTACATATGTTGCTTAGGATGTCGTGTAGATCTCTTGCGAGGTCTACTGCTTTTGTTGCTTGCGCAGGGTAGCGTGTGTTTTCTCTGATGTGTGCATGCTGAATTTGTCGCGTAGCCACTTGTGCGACTTATAGCACCATGTCGAAGTCTCGGTCTATGGTCGTGGCTCCTGTGTGTTCCTGTAGCATGCTGCGCTGATGCTGACGCTGGTTCTGCTGACCCTGACTAGTAGTTTGGCATGTGGTTGCCGTTCTGCTGTCTACTGGAGCTTCCCCATGTTTAGGATCTCAGCATTAAAATCACACGTTGTTATGTCGTTAACAAAAACAGTCAAACTTGTAGTCTGCGCAGCTCCCATCTTGCATGGGCTCGTGGAGTAGTAAAGCTCAAGGCCTGCGGTCAAGTACAAACTATGTAGTACCATACCACATGTGCATTGACATCTCATCCTCCAAGTACCCGGTCTGGAAACGCCAGAACAAAACAAACACAAATAAATGCTGTTGCGGCTTCCTTTCAATTGCATTGACCGCTAGCTGGGTAACTCTCAAAATTTGGGCAACATGACTTGTCTCGTTCTGGTTGCTTTTCCAGCTATCAGCCCCGGAAAAGATACATCCATATTTCCATATTTGAATCCTGTTGCAGCGCAGTCCTCGCGCCAGCTTCCCGCAACGCTTCAGAGCCATGCCCAACGGCCACGCCAGACAGCGAGAAGGTGCCTCACCGCTGATCGCGCCCGGCGTTTCCCAACTGCAAGGCGCGGTATTTACAGTCGGCCAATGCGGGGCTCTTGCACCCAAGGCATTGCGAATTGCAATCCATTGCCATGTTAAGCCCCTTCCCTCGGCTGCGCTTCACATGTTGACCAGAGGCACAGCCCGTTTTCCGGCAGCCCCGTTTGACACGCGATTTGAGCAACCGGCGCCCGCCTGACGAGACGGATTTTCCGAAGGTCACGGCATCGGGGCTTAGGCCCCAAGCGCGGCTCAGGAACAATGTGCCCTGGCCGTGGCGACCTGTGCGAAAGGTTCAGCTAATCTTGGATTCTTGGCTTCTCGGCTCTCTGGCGTTCTTCCCTTCAACCATGAACCATGCCGAAGGAAGATTAGTTCTTGTAGGCTGATAAATGCATCTGCGCGCGCCAGGCTGCGCTGCACTTCTGTGACACCGATGGTAGTCCTTACTGACTACTCCTTCGGACCTAAAGAGTTCAGACAAGAGTAGGCGCTTGACTCTGCTTTCCACAACTCTCTAGTTCGCCACTTGGACGGGCGGCCATCTGGGTGCAAACAATGAGCCTTTTGTCCCGTGCGGATGCTTAGATGGTAGGTGCTTGTTGATCTTCGAGGATGGCAGTGCAACTTGTCTTTCTTGAGCCAACCTGCTCGATGCCTTGCTGCTTCACGTTCCCCCGCCCAAACGGGTTTTTGCCGCCCGCGCACATGTTGGAATTGTCCCATTCAACAAAGGGCCTAATCCGCACATGATCTCATCGCAGAGCACGTAGGCGCCAGACTGCTGGCACCTGGGCATGAAATAACATGTCCCCTTTGTGATAACCTTAAGCGTGATCAAGCAGGTGGCAATTCTCTGCGTCAGCCTTACTTTGTCTTCACAATTGGCTTTGCCAAGCAAGAATTTAGCGATGTTGAGTTCGTTGTGGTGTACTGAAAAAGTGTTCGAAGGAAAGTGTCTCACTGTGCTCTAGCGCGCACCCTGGTCGGAACAACCGAGCCCCTCAACGAGGTTAAACAAAACGCGACTCTCAAGCCCTTGGCAAAGCAATGGGCCACAGCGCAACTGGACACAGCAAATCGAAAGCAACAAGAGTGACGACCTGAAGAAGACCGAATATCCGAACAGGGTTCTCACAAGTAATCTTTAGTACCGAGCCACAATGTTCAGAAAGCATTATGAAGCTGCTGAGGCACTTGTCGATAACCTGCTTCAGCAGGCACGGGTCCCAGGTGCAAGCCAGACGGCTGGAGCCCCACTGGGGCTCGAAGACAAAAACGCCGATGTCCTTAGCGCTGGTCGCACCATACGCCAACAATCGGTCTCCACCCTGCATTTGCGTTGCATGCGGGCATCGCCAGCGACGCGAGAATATGTACGTAGAGGAAAGCAATGGGACCCAAATCCGCCGAACCCTTGTCGTCATAATCATAATCTTTTTTGCTGAAGCCTTCATCATCATTACTATCATCATCAGCATCATCATCATCATTGTTCTAGTTCTTGCTGTCTTGCTGGGGCCCTCATCATCGTTACTACCTAGCATCAGCATCATTATGGACTTTGAATGTCCGCAAGATGTGCAGGAAATTTATATCCGGTGCGGCTTGCAACGCATCGTGATTACTCGTCGTCATCGACACCACCAGCCATCACCAGCCAACATCATTATCATCAGCATCATTACGATCATCGTGGTCATCGTCTGCTTGCGCCACTTGCAACGCCTGGGATGGAACCATTGTTGTCATTATTATCATCGTCATTGTGGGTCATCATCAGCGTCTGCTTGCTCCACTTGCAACTCAAGGGGTGCCATGACATCATTCTAGTAATTAGCGCGTCTTTTCTATCTTTCTCATCATTCTTATCCTTCTTAAACCTACATGTCAAGTGCTCCTTTCTTACATATAACATAATATGACGTTAGGCCTGACTTGCAACGCACATGGTGCTATAATGATGATAGCTTTCACCGGACTCATTGTTCTGAAAACCATCATCCTGGTTATCATCAGTGTCTGCTTGCGCCACTTGCGACGCATCTTTTTGATATTTCATATATACATTCGAGAAGTCACGCTATACCCGCCTTGCAACGCAAGGGATGCTATGATGATAGTTTTCGTCAAAGTTGTCTGGAATCATCATCATTGTGGTATGATCGTCTGCTTGCGAGCGAGGCGGAGGATGCGATGCTGGTATCATCATCAACTCATCGGCCTCGTCCTCATCACCAGCCATCACTATCACCAATGTCATCATCGTGGTTATCATCATCGCTCGCTTGCGCCACTTGCAATGCCACGGACGCTATGATGATTGTTATCACCGGAGTCATTGGTCAAAGCTATCTTTGTCATGCTGTTTGTCATCAGCTCCTTGCGCCACTGCAATGCAAGGGGTGCTATCATGAGGCCCAAACCCCGGGGTTCTCCGAAGAATCAACATCAAGAAACAAGCAAACACGTCCCCGCATGTGTTTTGACGCACTATTTACAGGTTTTTGAGCGCATGACATACCAACCGACCTCATGCCACTACATGGAACGCGCGCGGACTAACACCGCGGAAGTCCGTGTGAATCAGCATGAATTCAAGTGACCGAAATCTTCTCCAATGTTCAACACTCATTCGAATCCCACTGTAATTGCAAGATTAAAGAAATGTCTGACCAGATCATGAGCAGCCAAGAAGTGCGGATTTGCCCTGTTTCCGCGTCAAAATCACACATCAACAGTTTCTACACTTTCCACAGCGGCTGATTGAAAGCCTTCGTGGGGCAAACCAGTCCCATGCATTTCTGGCGGTGCATTTTCAATGCAGCCAGCACACCTTGAATGAGTGTTGAACGTTGCAGCAGATCCCGGTCACTTGTGTTCATGCTGATTCACACGGACTTCCGCGGTGTAAGTCCGCACGCGTTCCATGAAGTGGCATGAGGTCTGTTGGTATGTCATGCGCTGAAAACACTGTAAATAACGGGTCGAAACGCATACGGGGACTTGGCTAGTCGTTTGTTGACATTCAGGGATTCCGGGGCAGGAAGTTCCTGTCAATGAACGTTATCATATTGCCCCACCCCCCCCCCCCCCCCCAAACAAAGGGATTGCGAGCCAGGAAGCTCCTGTAAATGAACGTTATCATATTGCCCCACCCCGCCCCCCCCCCCCAGCACAGCTTAACTGTCATGATAGTTATCGTCGTAGTAGTTTGTCATCATCATTACCATCATTGCTTTTATCGTCGCCCGCTTGTGGGGGTGTGCGATGACGGTATCATCATCTTCACTTATCTTTTATTGATCGTCATCACCAGCCATCATCATTATGACCATCATAGTGGTTATCATCATCGTGTTTGCCATCACCGTCTGCTTGCATCACTAGCAGCGCTAGGAGTGCTATGATGAAAGTTAACATCATTGTCACTATCCCAGTCAGTCATCGTTGTCCATTTTGCATTTCTGATCTTTCTTCTGTTTTATGAAGAAGTACACATACATATTTCAAGTGTCAAGTTGGGCCCGACTTGCAATGCAAGGGATGCTGTGATGATAGTGATCATCAAAGTTGTCGTCATCATCATTATCATCATCATTGTTGTTATCATCGTCCTGCCGAACAGTTCGAGAAGCGAGTCGCTCACACCTAAACCAAACCAGTCGTGTTTCTTCTTCACTTCCACATGGGTGGCACCAACACAAGAGAAGGGTCGGCGGCACAGGGCTGCAGCCCTTTCCTTAGTCACAGCTTAGGGTTGTTCACACGTTGCGACACCAGACAACGACAAATCTGGAATTTCCAAGTTTGGGCTGAGTTGGCGACTGCCAGGTTTGGCTTCAAGAAACTGTTTGTCGTGCGTGCGGGTCTCTTGCTGGGCGGCTTCCTTGCGCCGTGCGCTTTTTGCCAACGGGTGTTGTTGAAGGCTGGAGGGATTCTTCTGCTGGGAAGACAAGTGAGCGAGGCCTCGGCGCGCAGAACAAATGTGAGTTTGTATCTGGTTCGAGTAGGTGCGACAAATGTACACGCGCCGTGGACCTCAGCGGATTGCACTGGGAGAGCGTGCGTCCCAAACAGCGTTCGCCACACCGCCAAACTTGGAGCATGCATCCTGCGCAAACAACACAAGTTCCATCAACGCGGAAGCAACTTTCGCGCTGCGCAAGTAGCCGTGCAATTGGGCACTTTCAAGGCCAAGGCGCGCCTGCAAGATTATCGACAACGGACAAACGTGCCAAGGTTGACGGGAAGGCTGGAGTCACTGCGCCACGCGTGCCCCGCAAACTCAACACACAAGCAACAAACATGCGGGTGCAACGATGTCTGGTTCCAGGGAATCGTTCCTTGCGAGCCCTATCGTTTGCTGTTTTCCACATTTCTGCAACATTCATCAAACGACGAACACTAAACTCAACAGCGGTAATTTTGATTGCGCCTCGCATGCTTTTGACCCGCAAGATGTCTCCTCGTCTAAAGGGCTCTCCTTCAAAAACATTGGCGGACACCAGTCTTCTACAAATCATGCAACACTGAAGGCCCCAACCAAACCTTGCACCCAAATCGAGCCAACAGAGCCGCCTTGGAATTCCTCCTAAGTCTCCGGATTCTCCGCCAGAAAGGCGTCGAACTGCTCCAGATATCTTCCATTCCTCACTTCAATCAAATTCAGCAAGCAACGCGAGCGGGGTCGATCGAATGATGGGCCTCAATCATGAAGATGAACTGCAGATTCTGTTCACGGTTGGGAGCTTCAGCCACAAATCTACCAACGCTTGCGGAAACAACGCGCTTCTGACGCGGGATGCCCAGTCAGTCATTAAGCGCCAAAGTACACCGAGGAAAACAGACTGGGCAAACCAAAAAATGACAAAGGTCATCCCTTCGCTGCGCCTCCAAACTGCTTCACCCACAGCCTGTTTGCAAAACCGCTACCAGGGGATCGGCTTGTCGATCAAATGGCAATTCGGGATGTTAACCCAGTTTTGGGGTGCGCGGGCGCCTGCAACTTGTTTGCCCGCCAACCAGCTGACCAGCGACGCTTGCAACTCAGGTTCTCCGCGCCCTCAGCCTCGAAAGGGGGAAGGGGGTAGGAGGCCTGCCCGCCTCAGGCTTGCAAGATGCGCTAAGCCTTGCTTCCTTGTGAGTTACTTGCAGTAGACCTTTTCGGTTGCTATCGGGGGCCCTCAGTCAAACTTGCGCTGGCCAAACTTCGGCTTGCTGGAAGCCCAAAAAGCAGCCACAAAAACGCACTCCCGGAAAACGAACAGTTCACCGCTGACCGGGGGCCCCGGCTAGTACGCGGCGCGTTTGGCCATCGAGGCTGCGCGGGTTGGCCCAAAGCCGTAGTTTTGGGCCCGTGATATGAGGACCCACCAATGCCTCGGCTCTGACAGGGTATTTGGCTTTCAGGCAAGTTGGCTGGCTCCCTTCCGCATCTTCTTGAAACCAGGCTGTGACTGGCTGCCAACAGAAGCAGTTTATCGCAAAGGGCCTTTCATCGGTTCAATAGGTACTCAAAGGAACCACACAAAGGTGTGTGTTTCTGCGCAGTACGAGGATGGAAAACGTGCTCTGAGCAAATACCAGTGGCCACTTTTGTAGAAGTACGGGCTCCGCAAAAGATATGGAGACCAAAGCATCACCTTCCACACAGAGCAACAACACATAGACCACCAGCACAAGAAGACAACCAAGACTACTGGGAAAGACAAGGCGCGCGCTACACAGACAACAGCTTCGGCGAAGTGTCGCAGCGCAAACACGACTGGACAGCCGTTGGAGACGCAGCGCTACCATTTCAATGGAAAGGCGCTACAATGTTACAAGGCTCACCATCAAGAAATATCATAAATACCTACAAAAGGACTACGATGAGGAACAACACCACGAACACCAAGAAGGAACTACGACAACCTCGCACACTTACCACACCGAAATTGGTGTCCAATGCGCGCACAAGAAGCAGTAATCGCGACAACCCGTCACACAAGTAGATGACATCAAGTCACACAACAGGATCCAAGGACCACACCAGTCAGTTGATGTAGCTACACAACTGAACATGGCGGTGTTAGTTCCAGACAAGCCATCAGTGATGGACTACATGATCAAAAACTTATATGTATTTATTTTCAAATGCTGAAGAACACAAGGCATACTTCCTACAGCAGCGACAGTCAAGAAAGCACTGGTTGCTGAGAGAGATGTCGCCGAGAGATTGCTGAGAGACATGACACAGACAAACGCAACCGCAGACTAACCTGCGCGCGCCTCACAGGCCGTTGTGAGCTCGATGTGCTTGCGAGGGCGGAGCAGAGTTTCACTTGCTTGCGGCGGCGCTGGGGCGGCGCCAGGTGTGTAGGTGTGACCTTTCTGAAATCTGGTTTCTCCAGTCCAGTCATCACCTTCAAGTCTTCCTTGTAGTGCTTGTTGGAAAGTTGCTTGGTGTTCTCTTGTAGTTGTTCTTGTTCTTGTCCTTGTGTCTTGATGATGGCTAATCGCAAACCATCTAGTTGTTCTTGTCGTGTTGGGCAACCGCTGTTGTGTGAGGTGGAGCAAAGTGCTTTGCGGGGTCGTTGGTGGTTAGGTGACATTACAAACAGAGCACCCTATCTGTGACCGAACGGAGTGGGAACGGTTAGACGGATGTCCCTCTTCCCTCCTCACCATTTCCCGTCTGTTTCTCCTTTCTGTCGCTACAGCCGTCTATTCGCTCGTTCATTTCTCTCACTCACTTCATCTCTCTTTCTCATTGTCTCATTTGGACGAAGTAATTCCCAATGAAAATTCAAGGAAAGATTAAAAATATAACGAAAAGAAAGGAAATAGAAAGTAAACAATATGACGATAGAAAGATTTATAATGCTTGGTTATTGCTCATGGTCACCCGTCTAGCAGTTAAGAGATTTCATGTGTGCAACCTTTTCCTTGCAGTTCCCTTTCGAGTGGAGTGAGTGTGAGGAACTTGGAAAGAGATGTAAGTCTTAGACCTTCCCTTCGGTTCCTTGAGTGTGTGATAGCGACCGCGAAGGCAAGGGATGGGGAAGGGAAGACACACGACATTACACTCATTCACTCTGTGCCCGATGGTAGGAGGTGGGGACACGGTGAGAAAGGATAGGAGAATGAACGGAGCAAATGAAGTGAGTGGGTGGGACGGTAAAAGGAAAGAATATGACGGTTCCTGGATTTGCAAGGGAATAAGATAATGAAAACATGAAATGCAAACAGAATAATAAAGCCTTGGAAATTCCAGTCACTTGGGTTTACAAAGGTTACATCTTAGAAGTAATAAATGATGAAAGAGATGTAAGAAGAGATAACTTATGAATCCAGATGTCTTTCTCCTTTCCCTTGTCTTGGTCATGTCCTTCCTCTTCATCTTTCCCTCTCACATCCTCACTTCAAGCTGCAAAGGGAAAAGATATTACATGGCATGCCTCATACAATCTCATGCCAAATCTTTTCACATCATTCCATCCCTCTGTCTACCGCTTCCTCCATGTAAATCCGGTCACTTCTAGAGACAGAGGATGAAGAAGGATGTGTTCAGAGACTTACCGAATGAGAATGGTGGGATGTCTCGGAGCTCTTCCCTCTGTTACACGGTCATCCCTTTCACATCCCTTCCCCGTCTCTCACGCGTAGTACCAGTCCCAAGTCTCGATTGTGTCCTGAGATTGTTGTCATGAGCTCCTTGTTCTTGCTCGGGTGTAGTTCATCTCCTTCTCCTATGTGCCACACTGGGACTCCGCAGTCTTGTGCCCAGTGGCCATCGGTGGCATGTCATGTAGTGGCTGCTTCCTACCTTTTGATTCTTTGTTGCTTGACTCGTATCCTTTGGAGCCTTTGTTGCGTCATCCTTTGTTGCCTTTGTCGAACCTTTTGTAGTGACCCTTGCTCCTCCGTTTGCCTTCTCTATTTCCTCTGTAGTGTCCTTCGTGCTTTCCTTTACCTTTTTGTACTTTCTACCTTTCTCCAAATGTTGCCAACATCCACCATTGCCGCTTGACCCAATTGCTGAAGTCGCGCTTGAGAAAGCTGGGGCCGTCTTGTAGTAGGCGAAGATGACCGCTTCGATCTCGGTGAAGTTTGTGATCTGTCCAGCATGGAGCTGAAGATGTTGCTGTAGTGCTCCTTTGGTCTTGTCTTGTTGAGCAGTCTTGCAATCTTCACTCCATATGATGCGCCGCTTGTAGCAACTGTTTCTCAAACTGTGTTCCGGCGGGTCGGCTGAACCTGCTGTGCAAAAGTCGCAAAGTGACAGTCTGCTGAGTTCAAGCTTGGATGTGCAACGTTCTCTGGCTGCGACTTGGGAGCACGCACACAAGGGGTCAGAAGTGACAAAGCAAGCCGCAAACCTGAGTGAGCCAAGTCAAAGTAAGTGCCATGCAAGGCAAACCCACTCAGTCATGAAGCCATGTTCAACTCCTCCAATTGTCTGACTCACAACTCATGCCCAGGCAATCCTGCACACACACGCCAGCTAGCTGGCCCAACAAATGTCCAATTCGTAACTCATGTCCAGGCAGCTTGCCGTTTCCGGCCACCACCAATTTTGCAGACGGGCGTCAAAGTATTGCTTGCGTTACTGCATCATAACCCTGGCCCAACAAATGTGTAGCTGCTGAAAACGCGTCATGGTGACCACGGTTTGCACGCGATTCAAAGTCCAGCAAGGCTTCCAGCATGCACCCCCAGCTGCGCCACAGCCTGAGAGAATTTCTCTGAAGCAAAGCAAGGCCCTTGAACTGCATCAAAAACACACAAATTGCAGCGGCGGATCTGTGTATTCCGCCACGGCACTGAAAAAGAAAACAGTACTTGGCCTGGGCGGAGGCGTGATCGCTGTCCCTGTCAACGTCAAGAACCCAGAGTTGGCTGCAACAATAAGCCGTTGTGAGTACTGGCGGCATGCCTGTCATGCGAATCATTCATTCAACCCAGTTTCTGATACTGTTGCCTCAGTGTCAGTATCACAATCAGGTTGCGACACGTACATGTCATGCTCTAGGCCTTCTAAAACGCCCATGCAATTTGAGCCAGCCCTTCCAGGCACCTTGAGTTCAAACTCAAAATTCGCAAAGAAGAAGCAGCAATGCTGCAAAGTTCACGCTAAGTTGGAGACAGGTTCAAGCAAATTTATGCAATGTTTTGGCGGCCCGCATCCGGTAAAATCCCAGCTGCTGTCATTCCAGTTGAAGTCGTGCCAGTTCTACTCCAGTAGTCTCCATCATGTCCGTGTCCTTCTGCTCCTTCGTAGTACCAGTCTCAAGTGTCGTTTTTGTTCTGAAGTTGCTCCTCTTTGCTGTGCTGAGGTTCTTGTTCTTGCTCAAGTAGTTGTCGTTCGCCTCCCTCCCCCATGCGCCCTACTGTTTGCGCCCAGTGGCCAGGCTTGCCATGTCGTGTATATTCTTTTCCTTTCCTGTTGGCTTGTCCGTAGCTGTTCCTCCGTAGCCTTTTTCTTTGCCTTTGCTGTGCCCTTGTTTGTTACCTTGTCAAAACCTTTGTAGTAACCTTTGCCCCCGTGCTTGCCTTTGCCTTTTTCCCCCTGAAGTGTAATTCTTTTATTTCCTTTGTAGTTTCCTCCTTTTCTCCAAATGTTGTCAACGTCCATTGGAGCAGGTTCTCCATTGTAGTTGGCGGCAGCTGCTGAGTTGATCTTGAGAAGGCAGCTGCTGTCTTGCAAGGTCGAGAATGAGTGCTCTGACCTCGGTGTAGCTTGTGATCTGTCCAGCGTAAAGTTGAAGATGTCGCTGTAGTGGTTGTTTGGTCTTGTTGAGTAGCACGGCAATCCTCATTCCATCTGGTAGTGATGCACCGTTGTCTTTCTCCTGGATGTCAGTCCCATTGTAGGAAGTGTTCCTCAAACTGTTCTTTGTTGAAAGCAGGTTCCAATACTTCGGCGAGGTTGCCAACGCGTTGTGTTCCTATGGGTGCGCTGAACCTGTTGTGCAAAAAGACGGTAGTGTTTCACATCCGTTTGCGTTGTAACGGTGCTCGTTGACATGTGTTGATGAGAATGTAGTGTAGGTCTCCCGCTGCTTGTGTTGCTTATGTAGCATCGCGTGATTAAGCTCTGATGTCTACGCCCTCAACTTGTCGTGTAGCCACTGGTGCTATGAGCAATCGCCATTGAAGAATGGTGGTGGCAGCAAATATTTGTGTGGTCTTTGGAAGTGGCTGTCTTGCTCTCGTGTAGCTCCTGTTCCCATAGTCGTAGCTCCTACTGTTTCTGCTGCTGTTGGCCCATTGCCTGTAGTTGGCCACGCTGATGCTGATGGTTCTGCTGACATGTCGTTGTAGTTTGGCATGTGGTTGCCTTGCAGCTGTTGTACTTAGTGCTGTATTCTGGAGCTCTCCTATGTGTAGGATCTCAG